TGGGGGCTGGGGGTGCTTTCACTCATCTGCCCAGGTTATGTCCCTTCTCCTCTAAGAAGGATCTGAGAGTTGCAGAAAGAAAGGAGGGGTCTTTTATTCCCCGCAGAGACCTCTGTGCATTCTGGACTGGCAATCACACAGCCCTACCTGCCTCCTATCACGTGTGGGAAACCAAAGCCGGTCAGCAGCCGTTTAAACCAACTGCTGGGGCCTCCTTGGTCTAGGGCTGCTGGCCTTGTGCTTCCCTCTGCTGGCCACTTGGGGAATCGCCTTTGCAGCCTTAGGTTTGGGTGGTGCGTCTTGTCCTGGGCGGGACTCCAGCAGGTGTCCCGGGGCCTTCTGCAGAACTGATGACCCCAGGCTCCCTGTGCGTGCGTTGGGCTCACCTCCGATGTGAAGGCAAGCAAGCCATGCTCAGAAGGGGCAGCCCTCCCCACACGCCCTGGCCCCCCAGGAGTGGACAGTCCTTAGATTCCTTCCTGTCTTCTCCCTGGCTGGAAAGGGACAAGCGTCCTAGTGGAGCAGCGGTCTCCATGTGCAGCCACAGGGCGTGGCCCTTAGCGAGCGAATTGTCGCAGCTTTTGATGCCTTGTTACCGTGTTGAATATGTTTAGCTTCCTCAGATGAGAATCGGGGCTCTGTCACCCTTGGTAGTTTTGAGTTCAACCCCTTGCTTCCTCCTGGGGGCTGTCCAGTGGTCTGCCTGGCACCCAGCCCCCTCTGCATCGGCAGCTCCATACACCATTTGGGGCTCACAATCTCTGTAGACCACATACAACGACCCCTGCCCCCAGAAAACTCCAGCTTGTCTACCTGAAACCCACCAATTAAAATCCCTCACTCTAGCTGGGTGCTGGTGGCCACACCTGTAATCCTAGCTACTCAGGAGGTTGAGATCTGAAAATAGCAGTTCAAAGCCAGCCTGGGCAGGGAATCCTTGAAACTCTTACCTCCAATTAACCACAAGAAAACCAGAAGTGGCGCTGTGGCTCACATGGTAGACCGCTGGCCTGAGCTGAAGAGCTGAGGAACAGCGCCCAGACCCAGAGTTTAAGCCCCATGACCAAAGGTGTGTGTGTGGGGGAAGCCAAGACCCGGTCTTAAAAAAATATAGCAAAGGGGCTGGGAAGGTGGCTCAGTGGTAGAGCGCTTGCCTTGCACGCTTGAGGCCCTGCGTTCGACTCCTCAGCACCACATAAGCAAAAAGAAAAAAGCTGGAAGTGGTGCTGTGGCTCAAGTGGTAGAGTGCTAGCCTTGAGCTGAAGAGCTGAGGGACAGCGCCCAGGCCCAGAATTCAGGCCCCATGACCCGACCCCCACCAAAAAATAGCAAAAAAGGACCCATAAGGCAGGGCTCAAGTAGTAGAGCACCTGCTTAGCAAGCAAAATCCTCTGTGAGGGGAAGGGATGGGGGAGGAGGGGGGAGCCAAGGGGGGGTCAGGGCACAGCCAAGCCTTGGGCATGGCGCTCGGACAGTGGCCGCCTGGGCCCCTGTGGGGTCTCCTGTGGGGTGGGGGCTCGGCTGGGCAGCGTGGGAGGGGTGCCAACCGGCGCCCCAGGGCCCCAGGCTGGAAGGGGTGAGTTAGAGGAATCCGTGCAGACCCCCAGGGGCCTGCTGACCACGCCGCTGGCCGACACTGATGGCCCCCGCCCCGGACGACCCCGACCCCAGACGACCCCGGACCCCTGAGGGCCCTGACCCCAGACGACCCCGGACCCCTGAGGGCCCTGACCCCAGACGACCCTTGGCCCCTGAGGCCCCGACCCCTGAGCGCCCCGGGCCTCCCGGAGGGCGCCCCCTGGCGGAC